TGTCCATGTAGGCCCAAATCTCTAGCAGAAAAGATAGCTTCTCATTGCACCAATTCCCCTCTCTTCTCTTAATTAAACATTCATGTGATCCCCAATTCTCATCATAGCTATATCTCCTTTCACTATAATAGTGCATATTTCTCAATATTACTCTGCCCCCCACAATGTTAAATCAGTTTTTTTCTCTTTTAAAATAATGACTTTTAAACATGTGGCCATTTGTTCATTATGTGTTCTTAGTAATTATAATTATTTATCTTGTGTTTCTGCTGTTTGGGGTGATAGCTTGTTGAATATTTTGCTCACACCTGTTTTGTTTTGGTTTTTCAAAAATACCTCAAATACGCCTCTTGTTACACATCTATATTTTTGCATTGATGATTAGGCTCAGGTTTGCAAGGTATGCAGATCTAGCGCCTTTTCTTTTCAGAAACTATTATTCCATTCCTTTTTTTTTTTTTGGTGGTTTCTAGTGAATGTAGAATCATTGTATTATTTAAATTTCATTTATTTATATTTGGAAATTTTTTTCCTAGTTATTTGTAGTATATGATGTTTGTCATTAGATGTTTTAACCATGGTGTCTTGGAGTTTGAAGCAAAGGGTATTTTATTTTTGGCATGGAGACAATCTGCGGATTCTTTCAGTTGTTGCTGTGTTTTCTATATTCTAAAGTTTCGCACAGTTTTCTTGTATTAGTTTCTGTATTACTGTATTTGGTTGTTGGTTTTTTTTTTTATTTTTTCTGAAAGACCTAAAATCCTTAAGTTACCCCTGGGCATCCCATCCTTAAGATCAATGGATTTGGTTTGGGAATAGAGCATATGTTCTTTTAATATTATTGTCTTTTGCTTCTATTGTGCCAGATTTTCCTTTGCTTCAGTTTTTGGGTTTCTTTTTTCTTTTTCTTTTTTTTTGTATTCCAAATCAGTTAAACTTCTTTTCATCTTTTTTTTTTTTTTGGAGAAACTCCACAATGGATTCAGTCTTCTTCTGATAATTGAGTTTTCATTACTATGTTGAAGCTATCACTTCCAATAAATATGCATATATTCATTCCTAATTTCTTATCCTATGCATTTTATTTCTCTTCTGAATTATTCTGGAATTTTTTTGGGTTCATACCATCTTGATATTCCACAGGATTCTGTTTTATCAAACATTGGTTTATTTTTCTTTGTATTGTAATACTTAATATTCCTTTGTATTGTAATATGTAATCTTTATACTTATCTTATTTCCAGAATCCCCTTTTGGGATCTTCTCTGTTGATTTATCTGTTTATGGTCTGGGTTTTTAATTGAGTTTTCTTCCTTTTAAAATCTTTGGTGTTTCAGCCCATTTTCCTTGTATTTTCCTTCTACTTGCTTTCTTTTTCTTATTCTTTTTCATTTGCTAGTGGATACACTCCCATCCTTCTGGTGCAAAACTGCCTCAGTCTTCTACTTTGGGGGATTTAAGATTCACCAACCGTTTTTCCCACTTTGTGTAGCCTCTCATAGGACAGGATTGGCTCCAGCTGGATTTTAGTTCCTGTCCCTTTTCTGGTTGGTCTGAATCAGGGTCTGCCACATTTTCAGAGTTGGAGGAGATAGGAAAGTGTGTTACAGACTAAGTCTCTGCAGCCTTGGTGGTAGGGGACCATTTAAGGCAGAAGGTAACATTCTTCCTTCTTCCTTTCCCCTATGGGACTGGGTAGAACTAATACTACCATTCTGCATCAAGATGAGGGCTGATAGGGAGTGAAGTATACTGGTAAAATCTCTGTTGATGTAGGAGATCCCAAAAACAACAACAACAATAAAATAGATAAACCTTTGGTTAATTTGATTTGAAAAAAAGAAAGAAGAAAACCAAATTATCAGTATCAAAAATGAAAAGGGTGTAGTCACCATCAATGAAGAGAAAATTAAAACAATAATTAGGCACTATTTTGCCTAACTGTATGCCAATAAATTTGACAATCTTAGTAAAATGGATGAATATTTATAAAAATATAAGTTGCCCAGATTAACTGAAGAAGAAGTAAAATACTTAAATAACCCCATCTCAGTAAAAGGAATTGAATAAGCCACAAATGAGCTCCCCGGGAAAAAATCTCCAGGGCCAGATGGATTTACTAGGGAATTCTGTCAAACATTTAAAGAACAGTTAATTCCAATACGATCAATAGACTGTTTGGGAAAATAGGTGAAGAAGGAGTCCTACCAAATTCTTTTTGTGATGTAAATATGGTACTAAACCAGGAAGAGCCAAAACAGAGAAAGAAAATTATAGACCAACTTCCCTAATGAATATAGATGCAAAAATTTTAAATAAAATATTAGCAAAAAGATGTAGGGGATCTCAACATGGTCCCCAGGCACAAGCCCTTTTTAGGGCTTTGTTTCCTTTCCTTGGTATGTTGATAATGGTGAAAGAGGGGTGCTAACTGAGTCTGTTAAGAATCGTTGTTTTCTGTTAATTCGTAAGAATTTTATCTTGTCAAGCCTTTCTCTTTTTTTTGTCCTGCAGCTTTAATTGCTCCTCATTTGTTGCACAATGAGTTTTTTGGGTTTTGGGTTTTTTTTGTTTGTTTTGGAGAGTGGAAACTGAGGAAAATGTCTAATTTGTTATCTTGTTGGTCCCCTGACCTGGAAGTATGTTAGTTCTTTGAGTACCCTGGGAAGCTGATTGTTAAAACCTGGTAAATTTAACTCATAAGGAAAGATGTGTGCTATCCTTGCTTCTCCTGGATATCAATTACTCATTAACCATTTCTCTCCCTCCCCACCCCTGGTTCTTCTAAGTTCAAAAATCCTTCTTGGTAGCTAAGAGAAGCAAAATAATATTTGAGTAGTCCTGCCTTCTCTCCTATTCATCCTAAGTAATGATCCAATTCCTTCTTTTATCCTTTGTTCCTCCAGTATAGCTTTTTGTTGTTGTTGTTGTTATTCTTAGCTCTCTATACCAGTTTCAGCTCATGCTGAACTTTGCTGCTTTTCATGCTATTCTTTTCTTTGTTTTATTATTTTTTTTACATAACTACCATTTCTCACTGAATTCTCCTCTTTTAAAAAGAAAAACAAAGAACAATAGTTAAGTCAAACCAGAACACTGGCCATGTCTGACAATGTATATCTTATTCCATACTTACAGACCATTACACCTGTGCTGAGATGAAAATGGTCTGTTTTACTATAATGCCTCTGAATCCTGGAACTCTTCTTGTAAGACCACATCATGCATTTGTGTTTATTCTCTTTATTCTCTGCTGTTCTTTAAAAACCTAACTTGACTCTGATTCTTTTCCTGAGCATCCAAGTTGTTCTCTTTGTAAAACTTCTCCCTTCTCTTCTTGTTTTTTTCTTCACAGCTTCATTTTTTGAGAATTTTTTATCCCTTTGGGCTAATTTCCTCTGCAGAGTTTTTGTCTGTGTGATGCTTTCTATGAACCCTTTGAAATCAGACCTTCCAAAATCTTGATTGCATATTAACTGTGATTGGCTTCCCCTATTCTTTCTAATGAATTCTAATATTGAGTGGTTTCTTTCTCCTGCAACTTAAGCAAAATAATTTTCCACTTTGGCTTTGTTCAAAAGTGTATCTCATTCTGTACCTTTATTGCATCTCCTCTCAGGAGTTGGGAAGCATTTTTCATCATTGGTTCTTTGGAATTGTGGTTAGTCATTTCATTGAAAATAGGAACAATTGGGGCAGCTAGGTGGCACAGTGCATAGAGCTCCAGTCTTGGAGTCAAGAGGATCTGAGTTCAAATATGGCCTCAAACACTTGACACTTAACTAGCTGTGTGATGCTGGGCAAGTCATTTAATCCCAATTGCCTCACCAAAAAAGAAAGAAAATAGGAACAATTATTTTTTACTGTGGTGTCAGGGAAGGCATCTTGGAGATAGTGGCAAGGCATCATGGAGATAGTGGCATTTGAATAGAATGAGTAGGATTTTGAGAGGTAAAGACGGTGAAGAAAGGACATTTCAGGAAGAGGAAATTACTTCAGTAAGGGCACAGACTTAGAGAAATACAATGCTCATTAAAGGAATATCAAAGCAATCTATTTTGTCAAGAGCAATCAAGTTCCTGTTTGGCAATAGTGAAAAATAAAACTGGGTTGGTAAGTTAGTACTATATCATGAACAGCTTAAAATTGCTAGCTTAAAGAGTTTTGAATTTAAATCCTAGGCAATAGGGAGCTATTAAAATTTTTTCAACTGGGGAGTAATCTTATTAGAATGATGCTTTCAGAAGTTTACTCTGGCTATGGAGTGTAGGATGGATTAGGACAGGAAGAACCTGGAGTCAGGAAGACTACTGAAGTAATATAGCATGACCTAGGATTCTGGCAGTAAGAATGGAAATCTGACATTTAGCTCCTTCCTTAAATCTTTTCTCACTGAAGTGGTGGGAGTGGTAGAATATGATCTGATATTAATAACTAGCAAACAAAATCTAACTGCAAAAGAAGTTTAAGGTCTGTTTATCTGACTGTGAAAGAAGGAAAAGGTCCCATTTATAAAAGTTAATAGTGGGTATTTGTTGGTTAGTTTTTCATTAAAATATAAACTCTTATTGATAACAATAAGTGTCTTTTCAAAAATTCTGGGAAGGGTCATTGCCATCTGTGGGTACTCAGTGAAGAGATATCAATGATAAAGATGTGTGAGAAAAATGACTGAATGAAATAGAGAAGACTATTTTAAAATGATATATTTATGTGACCTCCCACCCCCATAATGGGCCTTTTTGTAGATTGCATGGACTTAACATGTTTTCATATAGAATTTAAATCAGTAATATTGCCCAACCATGACATTCTTAGCTGAGGTTGCATAACAGAAAAATCATCCAGGCTTTAGATTCTCCGTGTAGAGATTTTAAACACAGTGATTATTTTGTATAATAGTAAAATTTTGTTTCCATGTGAGTATCTGCTGAACTGCATCTTTATTATCATCCAGAAAGGTCTTACTGTTCCATAACTAATTGTCTTTTCTCTTTCAGAACTTACCCAGATTGAGGATCCAAGAGAACAATGGAGGAGAGAACAGGAACGGATGTTGAAGGAATATCTAATTGTAGCCCAGGAGGCACTCAATGCCAAAAAAGAGATATACCAAATTAAGCAGCAGCGTTTTGAGCTAGCGCAAGAGGAATACCAGCAGCTACACAAGATGTGTGAAGATGACAGCCGCTCTTATGCTAGCTGTGAGTTTACGTGTTTCCTCTGAGGGAAACACCTTTCTCTATAAAGATTATCTCTCTAACAAACTGTCACGAGAATTCCAAGCTAAAGAGCTTAGGTTCCACTTGAGCTAGGTAATCTCTAGCATTTTTTATTTCAGGCCACAGAATGTCTCTTTCATCTATCATTATTGATTAGACCCAAGCTGCTATGCAATTGGTGTTGATAACGACCTGTTGATAACTGTGAAGTGAGGGCTTCACAGTTAAGTTTCTGTCTAGTTGTATAATTCTATGAATAATTTCCCTCTTTGGGAGAGAGGAGGGAGTTCTTTAGTCTTAGAGGTTGAGAGAAAGATGGCATCCTTCATATACACAAAGCATCTTCCTTCAACACCTCAGATAGAGTTAGAATGTGCTTTGGGGGCTATGGCAATAATGACAACAAATGGATGTTATATAGTCCTTTAGAGTTTGCCAGGTGGTTTGCACATATTTTATAAAACACCAGAAGCTCATAATAACCCTGTGAGGTAGATACTATACAGATGAGAAAATTGAAACTCAGTGATTTGCTCATGGACACATGGCTAGTATCAGAAGTAAGATTTTCCAAGTTCAATACTCTATGCACCATGCCACATTGCTTCTAATAGTCATCTGAAGAAGAAGACTACAATAATCCCAATTTCTCTGACCGAGAAATAGTATACCCAGAAATCTTTAAACAAAGTGCTGTAGTTTATTCAGAGACCTTAAGACTAGTCTGTCTGATTGCTTATTTATCAGACTTTCAGATAGTCAAGTAACTGACCAGATATCTGATTATGCCACTTTCAGAGATTAAGGCATTTTGGACTTGGTCAGTGAAATCCACAGGGTCTTAAGCCATTTTCAGTAAAACAATCCTCCTACAGAATAAGTAGTCACTTTACCATACACAACTTTGAGAGACTGTACTGAATATTTCATGCTACCAAAGGTAACAAGGTTGAGATTGTCCTTATGACTAATAAGCCTGTATAATATTATTTATTTATATAGCACTTTATGTTTTGCAAAGCACTTTAAAAATACTATATCATTTTATCTTCATGACACCCTTGGGAGTTCGGTGCTTTAAGTGACTTGCCCAGGGAGGTCACACAGATAATAAGTGTCTGAGGTATTATTTGAACTCAGGTCTTCTTAATTCTAGGTCTAGTAATCTGTCCACTGTGCCACTCATGTGTGGAGCTCATATTTGGGATCTTTTATTTCTCTAAAATAGGAATACAGAGGGACAGAGTTACACATCCATGGTGCTAGCTACCACTTTGCCGGTTGAAACACTGTTATATCCAAATCTGTAATTTTGGCATTAGGGGAATTCCAGTATGGCAGATTGCAACCCATCTATGATGCAATAGAAAAATCTTAGGAAATTGCTTGGGAGTCTCATAGAAATTTAGTGACTTAACTCAGAGTCACAAAGCTAGTAAATGGCAGGCATGAAGTATAAACCTACATCTTCATGAATCCAAGCCTGGCAATCTAACCATTGTGCGGCATTACCTCTTTGGCTGTTATTACAACCTTAAATTTTAGGGAGCTTACCCTAGTTTTATCCTATAATATCTACACTAGAATAGAACTAAGATGACCAGATTACTTGCTTCATTTGGTCTACTATATTGCTGTTGCTTTGGCTGAGTTTGCCACACATGCTATGGTGAAGTCCATGGCTCTAGTTTTCCCACTGTGAGGAGAATTATATGTCTACAACCTATTTCATGAAGCATTATTCTTCCTTGGAAGAATGAAGGATGCTTAGAAGATTATGGTTTGTTCTCCTGAAGTAGACCATTTATCTTCCTATTCTTCATGGATTGATTAATAATAGGCACTATCTTGAACCAGCTGGGTCAGTTCAGTGTCAGTCTTAGGAAACTGATTGTTTTGTCTTCATTGAATTTGGAAGACAAAGGGGCCACTGTTTCAAATACGCACTTAGTCTAAATTTTGTTCTTTTCCATGCATCCAAGATCTTACAGTTGAAATGCTGCTGAAGCCTTAAGAGAGTCTGCTATTAAGAGTCAGTGAATACATTTCATTATGCATGACAAAGCCCAGTTTGATCAGGTCCCTTCAAATGCTACCAAGATCACTTTGCCAAAAATGCTATTGTAGCCTCAAATGGAAAGACTTGACAGGAAGATGAGAGTGTCTTCCTTGCATATAGAAGGTGCTCCATAAGTGTTAATTGAATTGAATAATTAAACTGAACAAAAAACAACTAAGTTAAAGAATCACTGAAGAATACAAGAGGGTTCTGTATTAATTGATTGATTGAACAAACCTTTATTGAAAACATACTATATTCAATGTACTAGTAGGTCCTTGAAGATACAAAGATTATTTAGGCATAAGCCTTTGCCCTAAAGGAAATTATAATAGTAGTACCAATTCAAATTGCTACAGTGCTTTAAGGTTCAAAAATTGCTTTCCTCACAACATTCCTGAGGTTGGTACTTTTTAGTAGTATTTAGAGGGGTATTATTATTCTTATTTCAATTAATCAGTCAGTAAGCATTTAGTAATTGTTTAATATATTCCAGTCATTAGAACTTCAAATACAAGATAGTCCTTATTCTTAAGAAGCTTACATTCTACTAGGACAAGTGAACATGTGCATAGATAAGTAAAACAGTATATATACAAAGTAAATATACAGTGACTTGGAGGTGGGTACCAACAGCTGGGGAATCAAGAAAGGATTCACTATCCAGGAAGGAAACCAGGGAGTCCACAAGATAGAGGTGAGAAGAAAGAGCATGTCCATTCATGGTGTCTAGTCTGTGTAATATGTAATTGCCCTTAAAATTGGATCCAGGTTGTTAAGAACCTTGAATGTCAACCAGAGGAATTTGCATTTTACCTCAAAGGCAGTGAAGAGACACTGAAACTTTTCGAGCAGATAACAGATTTGCCCTTTAGAAATATCAATTTGGCAACTCTGCAGATGATACTTAGTAGAGGGGAGAGAATGAAAATAGGATAACACCTATTACGTCTCAAAATATCTTGCTTGGAAGGCCACCATCCAAAGATTTGGTCTTCATCACCATAAACCCCTACACTCAGTTCAACCCACTAAACTATCATTACTGGTATTAAGGAACAATTAAGAGGCTATTTTGATAGTCAAGGGGAGAGGTGATAAAGGCCTGAATGAGGGTGGTTGTGGTATCAGAGGTGATGGATTGGAGGGTTGCTTTATAGACAGTAAGGCTGTACAAACTGAGTCCGAGAGAGGTTTTCCCACGATCACACAACTATTCAATGTCTGAGGTTGGCTTTAAACCCAGATTTCCTGATTCTGAGGCTACTAAACCATGCTGCCTTTTCACCTCTGATCCTTATTTAAAACTTTAAGATTTGCAAAGTGTTTTTCAAACATTGTTACATCTGATCCTCACAACAGCCCTGTGACACAGCTACTAAAGATATTATCACCCCCATTTTATAAATGAACACAATTTTTAATACAAAGTAGAATTATTAAATTTAGTAATGTACTTAGAACACTGTAAATGTTGGGGCTGATGATGATGATGACCAAATTATTAGGGACTTTGGAGGGAGATATTATGGAAATTAAGCAGTAGTAATTCACTTGGGTTCCTTTTCTATGGGTGAAGGAACATAACAGCCACAGTGAAAGGTGGAAGGGATAGAGGCCACAAAGTTAGTTCATGGGTTCAGGGAAAGATGAACTGTAGGAAACTAATTTGTGCTTCACTAGGTTTTATGCTACCGAGAACACAATGCAAGTAGAAAGTTGTATGTCATAAATGCATGTATTCCTTTCTAAGCCTCAAAGAAATCTGTTTATCTATTCAAAGAAAAGGTTGGGATGGTGCTTCTGAAATGACAGGTGGTTTCTGGTAGAGGAAGCAGACCAACTCTGGTGTTTCCATGAAACACCCTGCCAACACTACTGTTGGGTTACACCCGAGACACCTAAAGTATCTGGATTTTTAAGGGGAGGAATTCCCATTTTTGTGTGTTGCTTTCTGAACTGGACTGAGTTAGTGTGTGTGTGTGTGTGTGTGTGTGTGTGTGTGTTGTATTGTATTATGTTATGTTGTACTGTTTGGTCTTGTTATCCTAAAGGGCTAACAATGACAGGGACAATTGGCAGGAGTACGAGTACATATGTGCTTTCTCCCTGAACTGTTTGCTTATTGATACTATGAACGGAATCTAGGAACTAGTCCAAGTTCTTAGCAAGTTGCTGTCTGTCACTGGAGTTTAGATTGAGCTATTTAACCTTCACTATGAGAACTGTGTTAGATGTGGCTAAATAGGGATTTCCTACTATATGACAAAGTCCAGAGTAGTAGACCTGTTGGCAGGATCCTTTGAGATTTAACAGATGTGCATCCTTAAGCTGTGAATGCCAGGCTTAGTACTGTTAATGTGTTTGCAGTAGTACAAATCAGTGCAACAAATGTTTATCCAGTGTCAGTTGTGCACTATTCTAGGCACTGGGGATACAAAGAAAAAAAGGAAAAACCATCTTCCCTTAAGAAGCTTATATTCTGCTGGGGTGGGGTGGGAGGGACAACTTGTACACAAATGAATAAATACAAAAAAAATCAAAGAAAATGAAAGTAATTTAGGGAGTTGTGGGGAAGCATGCTATCCACTGGGGACATCAGGAAATCTCTTGTTTACAAGATAGCACTTGAGCTAAGCCTTGAAGGGAGTTTTTGTTTCTGAAAAGCAGAGATAAAAAAGAAGAGCCTTCTAGAACATGTGACACTAAAGCCTGTGCAAAGTAATGGGAGGCCAAATTAGGGGCCTCAGGCATCCTAGAACCTGTTTCACAGCCAGGAAACTGAAGAAGTAAGGTACCTTGACCTGGTGAATAATTATAGACAAAACAAGATCTGGACACAGTACGCCTATACATACATGCATACATATGTGTGAATATATACTATATACACACACATACACACATATGTGTATACACACAC